GCGTAAATGGCTTCATGACTGGCAGTTTGGGAAACCAAGCAGCAGAGGCACAGGGCAGTAGCGACTGTCCAGTGTGACAGAGTGACTCAACGTCAGGGTCAGATTTTCAATTCCCTTCCCACATTCCTAGCCACTGCTCTTCCTTTACACAATTAAAGATGGAGAAAAAAGCACTTAAGCCAGTTTGATTATAGAGGGCCCTATCCATCAGTAATTATTGAAAATAATTTCAGGGACTTTCCAAGACCCTTCAAAAGGAGGACAGTCTCTTCAATAAATGGTGTTGGAAATACTGGATGTCCACATGCAAAAGAATGAAGCTGGACCCTTACTCCCTAATTCCATATACAAAAATTAATTCCAAATGGATGAAAAACACAAATGTTAAGATGTAAAAGTAAACCTCTTAAAATAAAATACAGGAGGAAAGCGCGTATACATTGGATTTGGCAATGATTTCTTGGAAATGACACCAAAAGCAAAGGCAACAAAACATAAATAGGAATACATCAAAAATAAACATCAACAGGTCAATCAACAGAGTAAAAAGCAACTCATGGAAGGGGAGAAAATATCTGCAAATTGCACATGTGATAAGAGGGTAATATCCAGAATATTTAAAGAACTCCCACAAATCAACATGAAAAAGCAACAATTAAAAAATAAGCAAAGGACTTGAACAGACATTTCTCCAAAACCAATATACAAATGTCCACCCAGCATATAAAGAGATGTACAATATAAATATTAAATAATTAGGTAAATGCAAATAAACCAATGAAATAACATCTCAAATGCATTAAAAGGGCTAACATTAGAAAAAAGGAAAATAGTGTTATCAAGGATGTGGAGAAACTGAAATCCTTGGGCACTACTGGTGGGAACGGTAAATAGTGCAACCTTCATGTAGAACAATATGGCTTTTTCTTTAATTTTTAAAAAACAGAATTATCAAACACTCTAGGAACTCTACTTCAGGGTGTAAAGAACTGAAAGCAGGATCTCAAGAGACACTTGCACACCATGTTCACAGCAGCATTACTCACAACAGTCAAAAGGTGGAAGCAGCCAAAGTGTTCATCACTAATGGACAGGCAAAATGTGGCATACACAGAAAAAACTCCTTAAATGTGGTATATATATACAATGGAATATTATTTAGTAATAAAAAAATGATACCCTGATACATGCTACAATGTGGAATACTCTATGATTCCATTTACAGGAGATATCTCTAGAGCAGTCAAATTTAAAGGAACAGAAAGTAGAATGGTGCTATTCTTTGATTGCCAGTGGCTGGGGTTAGGGGTAAAAAAGGAGTTATTGTTTTGAAAGGAGTTTCAGTTTTGAAAGATGGAAATGTTCTGGAGACTGGCTGCACAATAACCTGTACACTACTAAACTATTCATTTAAAAATAGGATGGTATATGTGCTATTACATGTTTAAATTTAAAATGTAGGAAAAAAAAAGGTTCAGGGACTTCAGCACAGGATGTTCAAAGATAATAATCCACTTCCTTTTGAAAAGATTATCTATAGGTCAATACCAAACTACTGTTTATACATTTCTTGGTAGCCTAAAGGAAACCAAAAACCCAAATGGGAATCAAGTTTTCATTACTTCACCTACCAGCGTTAAAAGAGAAGCCTTTTTACATACTACCCGAGAACTAAATGGGTACGCTTTGGTGAAGAGAAAAAAGCAGTATTACTAGAAATCTACCTGAATTATCTGCTTCATTCACAAATAGCTCTTTATGCTGAATAATAAAATTTGCTGCCATTATTCTCCAAGGTTCACTCAATTTGATCTTGTCTGAAAGCCACCATTTTTCAATGAGGTAAACACTTGGAATAGAAATGCCTCAAAAAATTAAACACAAATTTATATCTCCTTTTATGTTATTACTTAAGATTGTCTTCACCAAAGATATAGAGTAGAAGGTACCATTCTAAGTCCTAGAACAACTGAATCAGTACTAGTATATTGAGTAGCAGGAGTGTGGAATTCAGTCCAGTGACATAAATGATGAAGTGGAGATCAGAGTATTATTTAGCAGCTAAACCTAACTGGAACCTAACTTTAACAATGTTGAAAATATTGACAGAAAATAGAACAACTTGCTAAAGTATGAAAAATCAACCAATCTACATATGAAATTTTAATCAGATATACATGTCCAACAGATATTAAGGCAGGATCAAATTTTTAGTGGCTCTTAAAAAATCAGCATTATTTGAAACCCTGGTGAACACATGTAAAAAAAAAAATTTATCAGATTCAGCTGCAATGATAAGCAATTGACTAAGTTACTAAAATTTGTAAGACTGACTACACATCATGAGTGTAGAAATATCAGCAAATGATACTAATTGTCAAAATTATTTATAAGGACTTCAACATGCAAGGAATTTATTAGTGAGATATCCAACGTGCTTGAGAAAACATTCACGAAGAACCATTTTTTTTCTCAGCCACTTTAACCTTGCTGATGCCCTGCAAGTTCTTAGGATACTAGCTAATAGCTCAAACATGTTTTATTTTTAAGTATGTTAATGAAACTTATGCAATAAATAGATATTAAAAACTCTTGGAATTGATTCTGGAAACCCATACGTGCACCTATATGAGTGGGAGGAACGTGTGGAGGTATCTGCATAAATATGCAGATATATATAAACCCCATTTAAGTGTTTTACGAAAACTTTTTCAGAATCTTACATAAAGGTTTTTAGATGCTTTACAAACTCAATATGCCCTTTCATCTAGCTCACCTTTTCTCATTTCCTTCAACTACTGAGATTATACAGAAGTATTTAGTACTATGGGCTCCACAGATCCTAGGACAGAGCATGAGAGGGGAAGTACTTATGTAGAAACACTGAGGTTACAGAAAACAGTTATTCCACAAAAAATAGGCAGACAATCTCACAAAGAAAACATATGAACTATTCACTATTAAATATATGAAACATTCAAAATCCTTGATCATTTGTCTTTTTTAACAAGAGAATATGTATTTAAATCAGCAAGAAAAAAAGCTCATGATGAAAAATAGCTTCTGAAAAGACATTTTCTTCTAATTAAAAGACTACTCAATCGTCATTTTCATCTGGAAAATTATGGCTTCCAAAGTTACTTTAATGCTAGTATCATTTTTATGTGCCAACTCAGGATATTACTCCTTGCCTCTTCACTTATTCATCAAAATAACTAAAAGGCATAATCTCTACACCTTGTTGAATCAATAAATCCTGACATTCAAAAACATCCTCATCTCCAGGCTCTTCTCTCGGTGCAAGTGGTAAGAGCACAGCAGGACCACATTCAACCTCAAACTTTCCTGAACTTTAGAGACAAGAACTTAAGTGTTCCCTGGTGGAAGACGACAATTGTGAAAAAGAAAATACAGGTTTAAGTTACAAATGTCCTCCGTCTCTCCATGACAGTTTTTTCTAAGGAAACATCTAAGAAATATTTTTAATAGGAGGTATGAGGTAAATATGTCTAAAAGTCTTTCCCACTTACAAAATGCGATGCAGAAAAACAGAAAATTAATACTTCTGCTATACACTGACAATCTAACAACCAAATAAGTATACCTAATAATAAGGAAATAAGGATAACTGAGTAAGGGCAAGTTTCTTATCTGACTTTGAACTCAAAGTTTAGATCAAGACCTTAAGCACTAAGACTGCATAGTACTACAGATAACAAAGGAATCTGAAAGGGAAATAAAACCATTATTTTAAAGAAAGAAACTGAAAAGTTCATGGCAAATCTGCCTAAATTACTAATAGCTGAAACATAAAGCAGCATAGAAAGAGAAAACAGAAAGATTACTGTAAAGAAAATACACATTTACTAATTAAACAATGGAAGTACAATTCCATAAAAACAAACTGACTCCAAGTTGAAATGTATACTTTAAAAACAGGACTACATTCAACCATTTCCAAAAATGTTCAGGCAGTGAATAGTTATCCCTAAGAACTGAAGTATAAACATTTCTAAAACAAGAAAACAATTCTGCTCCTATATAGAAAAGAAACCAAAAGCTGTAGTTGTGGGAAGAACTCCCCTGACACTTGTGAAACTAATGAAAAGTGTGGCTCATGGAATTTGTGAAAATAAAATGTATACCAAAACGTGTCACTGTGGTTAACGGTGCTCTGTACAACACAGAAACTGTCATCCTTTACTTCCTCGGCCAGCTACCTCAAAAGTGCCATAATGGACCACCTTGCATTTTCCCATAGTGAACCACCATGTGATTTAAACATCTTGTCTCATCTTCAGACAGCTAAGAGCAAGAGCATTAGAGGAACTGGGGCTGAATCAGGGAGAAAGGATGGGTTCCTTCAAATTTTCCAACAGCCTCTTTTCCAAGGGTTGGGAGTTTAAAAACAAAATTCTGGACCTGCCATTTAATTCAAATGGTTTCAGAATTCTTCCTGCAGTGGCTTAATGGACACACTTCAAAAGCTGAGAAATCTTAATGTACTCAGCCAGTACACTGAAATTCTTTTTACCTTTCAGAGTTGTTACACAACACGGTTAAACTAAGCCCTTTTACAACAAATAGAATAATTTCCTCTAACATTTTAAGATCATTTTAATTAACTAGTGTCTGTCAGTCATTGCAAAGGTTGCAGTTGCCAGTGGGTAGGCCATCACAGAAACAGTGTGGTGAAACAGGATGTTTTCCTTTTATTTCCTGAGTGAACTTTAAGGGATTAAAACTAAATTTATGTCAACTTTACAGCATTCAGATTCAAATTCTGAACCCAAATACATTTTAAGAAACAAAACAAAAAAAACTTGAGGGCTATAAAACCATATACAGTGTGGTCAGAATTCCACTTTTGTATTATGTGCATACTGTATTTTAGTCTGCAATGTTTCATATTTGTATTTCACGGTATATAGCTTTTGGACTGGGCTGCTTGTCCACAGAAAGAAAAATCAACTGTGTTTCCACCTTAATATTCAACCTACCTGCCCATAGTTGTCTATGCCCGTTACTAATCTATTTAAATTTAATAAATCAAAAGCTGTCCTTAGGGATTGGCCAAGAGTCGTAAGTCCTTCAGCTTGAAGGTTTTTCAGTTCATTCATAAACGTTGCATGGTTTTCTTTCCATCCGGCCTGAAAAGAAAAATGTGAGAATTTCTTTTTTTCATCTTTTCAAGCCAGGTACACAGGGACGGCCGTTAACAATCTGCCGTTCACCAAGCGGCTGCTCGACTTTACTGTACAGTTTGGGGTAGTGTCAATGCCGTCTCTCTGCTAAGGAAACTCTCCTCCAGAGGTGGCCGAGAATAAACCTGCTGGCTCTACAGCTTTCCGTAGCTACCAGCCTTAATACTTCATAACTTCCCGGGAAGATGCACTCCCCAACCTTATGCCCAAAAATCCGGGGATGCAGAGGTAGTGGTGGAAAGCAGAAGTGAGCAGCACTTCCGAAGTTCACCCGAAGCTGTCCCACCGGCCTCGCGGCCCTATCGGGGAAAATCCGGAGACCCGACCCCGCTGCACCCCACCCCACCACCCCNCAAACACACACACACCGCCCGGGGCCGGAGCCCGGGCCCTGGCCGAGCCCGGCTCGCAGCGCCCGGCCGCCCGCGCGGTGGGGGAGGGGGTCCCCGAGCCCGGCAGCTCCCGCAGTCAGGTCCCCGACACCTCCGCCTCGCCGCCCCCGGCTGCCCTCCCCCCAACCCCTGCCGCCCGCGGGCCGCCGGGCTGGGGTCGCCCCCCGGGCTCGGTCGGTCGGTACCTTCATGAAGGTCTCTACCGCGCCTTTGGCCGTGTCCAGGTAGGTGGTGCCCAGATGGCTGCGCTGGTTCATAGAGGCAGACGTGTCTATCAGGAACAGTAAGATGGGCATAGTGCTGGCCGGGGACACCGGGGCCCGAGGTGGTGGAGAAAGAGATGGAAGAGGTGGAGGCGCCGGTGGCGGCGGCGGCAACCGCCGCTAACGCGGGGCGGGGGAGCGCGGCCCCCGGGAGGAAAACACCGTCTGGGTCTTTCCTCCGGCTGCGGGGAGTTTCTCCCCCGATAGTTGAGAGGAAACTCCCCGGACCCAGTCCTCCCCGTCGTACCCCCGCCTCCTCCGCCTCCTCCTGCCTGCCTGCCCGCTAGGGCGGGCGCCCGGCCGTCTGTCTGTCGGTCCGTTCCCCCCCGCCTCGGGGGTCCCGTCCCCGCTCCCGGCCCCTGTGTGTGTCCCAGCGGGAGACGGGCCTGGCTCCCTACCCCACCCCCGGCGCAGGGAGTGGGGACCTGGGAGCTGGCGAAGAGGGGAGTGGGCTAAGGGGAGATTGGCCCTGGGGCTGTTGGGAGAAGTTTCAGGGACTCCCTCCGCACCCCGGCGGTGTCACCACTTTCTCAGCCCCTCTCGCTACTGAAGCGCTTTTCTCTCTCACACTCCGGTTTTAACTCGGGCAGGGGCCGCAGAGGCTCCGCCCTCTGACACGTCCTCGGGCCACGTGACGCACCGCCCCGCTAGCCTATTGGCTGGCCCCTGGCCTCTTATTAGCATATTCAAACAGCTCAGGGGCGGGGGAAGCTTGGAGGCCGGCTCCGGGAACAGTTAGGGAGCACGCGCAGAGGCGGGGCGTCGGGTGCGCGCGAGGGGCGAGCAGGCGGGCCGGCCGACGCGGAGGCGGGCTCCGGGAAGGGGCGGGGACTGGCCACGGAAGGTCCGTGGGGCTGGGGCCGCGTCGGCGCGCCCAAGGCCGGCGCGGCTGTGAGTCTGCGCGTCAGGCACGGCGGCCTTTCCTTGGCTGTCGGAGGTGGTAGGGGTCGGGGGAAGGGAAATGGTGGTTGGCCTCAGCTCCTTTTCCGAGGTCTCGGTAGCGAACCCCTTCCCTGTGGGCCAGTGAGGAGGAATGAGTAGCGTGATCAAAAGCCCGGGTAGGAGTCAGCGGCAGGCCCGCGGTCGCCCCCCAGAGGAGGGCTCCGGGCCGGCGGTCGTCGGAGGAGGTTCCTTGGCCCTAGGAGGGCCGGCCCCGGCGCGGGCGGGCCCGGGGCGGGGGAGGGGAAGTGATAGGTTGTTTATGACCAGGGACTAATCTCCCCGAGTCACACCGCTCCCGCTGGGGAGTGGGGACCAGGGGCAACCCTAGCCCGCAGCCGCGCTTGGCTCTGGGCAGCGACCGAGGGCGAGGGCTGGACTTGGCCAGTGCCCCTCTCGTTGCAGGAAACCACCAAAAAGCATACAAATCCTTTTTTCCCCCCTAACTCAGCCCTAAAAGGACAGTGGGGAAAGATTCAAATATCGATAAACTGTTTACTGCCCTTTTTATACTGGGAGGGAAATAACCCGTCTTACCCAAAGAAGTAACCTCTGTCAAGCCATATTTACTTAGAACCATCGAATGTTAATTTTCAGAGCTAAAAGGGACCCTGGCAAATCATAATCCATTACTTTTTATTTAAACAAACTGACCTGGCTGCCCAGGTGACACATAAGATTGGTTCTCCATAACCCTTCCAGTGCTGTTTCACACACACTGTATCAGGCTCGATCCAGATACTGCATGAGGGAAGACATTCTCGGTTAAAAACCAGCCCCTGTCATCAAGCCGGATGACATAATGAATCTTAAATGTCCGAGGAAAACTTTCCTCAAATATACTAGTCGACAGTTTGACTTAGGGACATAAAACCCATATAAGACAAGACTCCCCTGCTAACCTTACATTTCTATCGTTTATTCTGAAATTCTTAATTATTTGCTTACTGGTCATTGAAAGAAATTGTTCTATTACTGTTAACATAAAACATGTTTTGTGGCACTTTTTTTACATTTTGAATTTTTTAACTTGGACTTTTACTAACATTTAAGATAGTCTCTGAACTTTTGTTATAGTAGGGCTAGTTCAGCAATACGCTGTTATGTGAGTAGGTTCCATAGAAGAGTAAAGTATTTTTAAGAGATTTAGACTACAAAATAAGGTGGAGTAGAGAGATTACATCCAGTATTTGCTAAGTGGAGTTAAAAATGATTATTGTCCCTGCCTTCAAAGAACTTAAGGTTTTTCTAGAAAAATATTGTCTATATATTATTAGCTACTACAGAACAGAAAGTGATTAGATACTAAATAATTCAGAAAAGAGAAAATGTTATTTCCCCAGGGAAATAGGGTCAGTAAGTTTAAGTGGTCCCTTAAAGCAGTGTTTCTCAAAATGGAATCCTAGATCTGGAGATAAGAATTGAGTTAATTAAAAGATACTTTAGATTTTTTGTTTTTATTTTAATGACAATATTCAAATTGTTTTATAAGTTACAAAGACAAAAATTTTTTTTCAAAGTGATAATTTGCAACTGAAAGAACTCTTCATAGAATTTGTCCCCAGTTTTCTCTGTCAGTGCTTTTCAAACTGTGGTCTGTGGACTCCTGCCTGTCAGAAAATGTATTCTCTAGAATCATAAGAATTTCTTTTACATTTCTCAGATTTGAGAAACACTGCTTACACTGCTTTAAAAGATTGATAGGATTTGAATATGTGAGTAAAGGAAAAGAAGCTTCTGGTGAAAATCCCTTCTAGACATTGAAAATGTAGTAAAGAAAGGAAGTTAGCACAGCACTGGCAGTGGCTTCTTGGGGAACAATCAAGTTCAGCTTAGGCTGGAGTACCAGATACAGGAAGAATAGTATAAGATCCAGAAAGGTGGGTCAGGTCCAGAGGGTCTTTATTGCCAGGCGAGAAATTTTTTTTCCATATAAATTGGGGTTTTTAGTTAATACAAAGTAGCTTGAAAGGAATCAAACTACAGTGAAGTAGATGAGCATGTGTTAACACTGACCTTAGCTATTACTGTTACTTGAAATCATTTCCAATGGAGCCAGCATAGTCTTTCTTCCCCAACTCCATGGAGTTGGTAGATGGTTGCACTAGGGTCATAAGTGGAGGTATAAGATAGACCTGGGATTAAACACAAAGATCAGGAGAGCCAAGTCCAAGGAGCCAACCTGCGGCATATAACCAGAAACTACCCTTAGAGTGGCACCTGAGATCAAAGACCAGGATTCCGGCTGAGAAGCCCAGAAGTATTAGACGGCAAAGCCCCGAGGCAAAACAGGAAAGAAATCAGGACATACATAGACAGCAAATCAAAAGGCCATCTGAAACCAGGAAGCATTGACGAGTAGTCCCTAGATAAAACTGTGAAGTAGGCCAAGTTTATTCTTAGTGACTCTGGTTGACAATTAAACTGTTAGTTGATGATGTTTTAAACCTGTGGTTCTGGGCCAGAAGATGTGCATCAGCTTTATCAATAGAGCTTAATAATGAAGGTTCCAAACCCCCAAGCCCAGAGGACAGTGATACAGGAAAACTGCGATGAGCCTTCAACACCTCATTTTTTAAAAAGCTGTTCAGATGAATCTTAAATAACGCTGATTATGAACTATATGCCTAAATTATAAGAATAACGCATGTGTCTAGCCTCTAGTAGTAATCAGTAACTAAAAATTCACATAATCTTGGAGTTATTACCTTACCTAAAACTCCTAAAATAGATCTGCAAACTAAAGGGGAAAAAAAAAAAAAAACTATAAATGTGGCACCAATATAGACAACAGCGAATTTCATCATATGTTTATTTAAATTGTTTGAATTCAACTATGTTTGACAAAAATGTAAACTGAGAAAACAAATAATGCCAGAGACTCCCACTGTTCCACTCTGTGAGCTTAGGCCTTGCAGGAAGCACAAGATGGGAAACATGAATCTCTTCTTCACCCAATCTCTGCGATTCTACAATGTGATTCCAGAAAGATTCTGGTTATATGTAGGCTTATATCTCTAAAACAACCCATCAAATGCAAGCCAACTATTTCATCAGAGTCACTGAAGAAACAGTGAGCTCTTGCAACGCTAGAGAGGAAACTAGTTGGAGTAGTATGTGCTAAACCCTGTCCTGGGGCAAGCTGGGAGATTAGGAAAAAATTTTCTGGGAGGACATTGGTTGGAAGAAGTATGTGGGAGAAAACATGCTCTTTGCTGCTGTTTTTAAAGGAATGCTGCCCAAATACTATGGCTCCTGATTTAAAAGGGAATGAATAAATTACACAAAACTCAAAGATTAGTGACTCTGGCTTAAACAATAGCCTAAATTGTTGAAATGGAGCTATTCTAACAGAATTAAGAACGACGAATTATATTCATTTGTAGGAGCCAACCAGAGCCTTTTAAATTATTTTAAAACTAATTAAGCAGGGTAACACAGTTTAAAAATAATGATGTGCCAGTGACTTGGCTTATGGTATCTGGATGTGCCATCTGAGCAGAATAATCAGATGAACTTAAGTGTTCCTCATATGTAACCTAACAAAGTTTCTTTTGACTGTCTTACCATTCATTTCCTCAGCTCTCTGCTTTACTCTTTGAGACCACAGCAGTTGGTGATGTTGAGAGTTTGAGAACATCAGACAAACGATGAAGTAATAAGCAAAAAACATCAGATGTGAAATTACGCAGCAGAAAGTATTTGAATAATACATATATAAGGAAATTTAATTTTGGTCATCCTAATTTATGATGTTATATAATACCAATTATATAATTATATAATATCAATCCTCAGGGGGGTGGAAAATGCTACTAGAGACTACTGTTAACAAGAGGGACTTCCCGGCTGGTCCACTGGCTAAGAATCCGAACTCCCAATGGAGGGGGCCCAGGTTCAGTCCCTGGTCAGGGAACTAGATCCCACATGCCACAACTAAGACCTGACACAGCAAAATGAATAATAAATTAACTTTTTAAAAACGGAAATTAGACCTTTCCAATGAGCAGTATTTCACAGGCAACTCAAGATGAGTATGGAAAATGAACATATCCAGAATGAGAATTAGAATCACAGTGGAACAGTTTCTCTATCAAAGGAACCTAAAACATGGCAGTAATTATGGAAAGACAGGTAGATAATGAAAATATACTCATAAGTCGGCAGACCCCAGATAGGATACAGCAAGACCTGTCTTAGAAGATCGTTTTAGAAATGCAAGATAACACACCATATTTTATCAAGTCTGAGACACCATGGGTTCTAAGACATGCCATTTAGAAAGAAAAAAAATGCTGGTAATTAAATTACAACATGGGAATTTCCTGGACTCGGTGCTTCCACTGCCAGGATGCCAGGTTCCATCCTGGTTGGGGAACTAAGATCCCACATGTTTTGTGGTGCAACCAAAAAAATTTTTTTAATAATAAACTGTGATATATTGCTGTCTTATCAGTATGAATTTTTCCATACTGTATTGAATTCTACCAACCAGAAGTATTAGTGATACAACATGCTTTAAAAGCATACTCCACTGTTGTCTTCAGTAGTTCTTCCATTCTACAAGTTCTGATGCTGGTGCTTTCTTGATCCAACTAGAAGGTGTTGGTGAAAGGTTTTCAGACCACAAATAGGATTTATATCCTATCTTTAAATGCTTAGTTGTCTAAAATGTCTAAGGTTTGCAACTGCCACCAAGAATA